TTTAAGCCTATTTTGAGAGAGAGAGAGCAAGCATACCAGCAGGGGACAGACAGAGAGGGGGAGAGAGAGAATCCCAAGCAGGCTCTGCACTGTCACTGTGGAGCCTAATGCAGGGCTCAAGCTCACAAACTGTAAGATTATGACCTGAGCAGAAACCAAGAATCGAATGCTCAACTGATTGAGCCACCTAGGTGTGCCTCAAATGATCATTTTTATTTTTTATTTTATTTTTTTCAGTGTTTATTTATTTTTGAAGACAGAGACAGAGCATGAGTGGGGGAGGGGCAGAGAGAGAGGGAGACACAGAATCCGAAGCAGGCTCCAGGCTCTGAGCTGTCAGCACAGAGCCCAACGTGGGGCATTAACCCACGAACCATGAGACCATGCCCTAAGCAAAGTCAGGCACTTAACCAACTGAGCCACCCAGGTGCCCCACAAATGATCATTTTTAAAAGAAAGCTGCTTTGTTTTTGTTTTTGAGGTGTTTTTTCATAAAACTCAATTACTGAAAGCATGTAATACAATACAATTTGTAATAAATTTATAAAATTATACAATCATCATCACAATCCAATTTTAGAGTATTTCTATCACCCAATATTCCCTTGAACCTGTCCAAACAACTAACTTTACCTGAGCTAGAAAAGCAGCAAATCTCCGGGGGTTTGCCTGAATGAAGCTTCCAATGGTAATTTTGAGAGTCAAACAAAATGTTCCTGGATAACTGACTTTGGTGGTCCACTGTTGAGGCAAGATTTCTTCTTTTCCTTTCCTTTAAATCTCTACTGGTCAACTTGCCATTTTGAATGTTTATTGCAGCTTGTCAATCATTTCATTCTATCTCAGATATCATGACTTAACGAAATGGAATAACTACTGATTCAAATTTGATTAATCTAGAAAACTGGCTCAGGGAGTTACAATTACTTAAGTCTAAATTCAGTGCACAGTGAATTACTCTGCTAGCAGAATATGACAAAGGAAAAAGCCAATAGTATAATAGGATAAAGTTAGCCTCATACAAATGACTTACCTCAGAAAAAAACCCACTATATTTTGATGACGGGCTTTCTGTCTGTGAAGAACCAGAATCACTGGAGTTAAGCAAGTATGTTCGACTATCATGGCGTAATTTTTCAGGCAGGTGACCTGCACAAGCCAGTTCGTTTTCTTTATTTGCCATGTCACAGCCCCCACTTCTAGGGGACTGTTTTTTTCTATAACAAGGATTTGGAAAAGGATGATGCGCTTTCTTTCTGCGATAGATCACTTTACGTAGTTTATCTGGGCTTTTCACAGCTTGTCCAACTGTTCTGTAAAAAGAATTGATTTTTTTAAAATGAAAAAGAACCACATGAAAACCTTTACAACTTTTTAAGCAGAAAGATTCAATAGGCCACATTTTGTGATTACAATCCACTAAAATTAGAAGAAAATAGAATAAAAAAAAAATCTTAACTCTTAGATTGACGAGGAAAATAAAAAGGAAATTATAAACCATCTAGAAAGCAATGAAAAAAATAATACTTTATACCAAATGAAACTGAAAAGGCATAATAACTAGATGCTTTTAAAATGAAATATTACAGGGGTGCCTGGGTGGCTCAGTTGGTTAAGCGTCCGACTTTGGCTATGGTCTCGTGGTTCTTGAGTTCGAGCCCATGTGTGGGGCTCTGTGCTGACGGGTCAGAGCCTGGAGCCTGCTTTGGATTCTGTGTCCCCTCTCTCTCTGCCCCTCCCTGACTAGCGCTCTGTCCTCTCTCTCTCTAAAAAATAAATAACATTAAAAAAAAGGTTTTTTTTTTAATGAAATATTACAAAGAAAAATAATAAAATGAAATATTAGTTTGAATTGTGCAAATCTGAAATATATTTTAATGTATTATAAAAAAGAATACTTACTCTGATTAAACTTAAGTATATTTAATTTGTTTAAATAAGATGAAACACAATACAGCAAATTTCACAGTTCTGCATGGTGATTCTCAAACGTTTTGGCCTTGGGATGCCTTCCAACTCTTAAAATTATTGAAGTTTCAAAAGAATGTTTTTATGTGGCCAATATCTACTGATATTTACTGTATCAGACTCTAAAATTGAGAATACTTATTGATTCATTTAAGAAATAATAAGCTTGTCACATGTTAACACAGAGTATTTTGCAAAAGAAAAATCCTATCTTTTCCAAAACAAAACAAAATATAGTAAGAAGAATGGCACTGTTCTTTCTATTTGCTCAAAATCGTTAATATCTGGCCTAACAGAAGACAGCTGGATTCTCATATCCGACTCTGCATTCAGTCTCCAGTGGTATCAAATATGAAAACTACTGTACACTGGTAACAGTGTGAAAATGAAAATGATGAATTAATGTTATTGTTATGAATATAGTTTTGACTTCACAAATTCCCTGAAAGGGCTTCAGGGAACCCCATTGTTATCGGATCACATTTTGAGAACCAGTAGTTTACTAGAAAGTGCCTTTAGAGAATGAATGCCATTTTCACTACTTTCTGCTGTATGACCCTGAACTAATCACAAATCTTTAGTTTTTCTCATCAACTGTTAGGGGCAATGATACCTCTCTAGTAGGATTGCTGTAAGGATTAGAGATATTACTGATGTGTTTTGCACAGTGACTGGCACAAAGGAGCTGTTTGACAATAGTCACTTATAACAATAGAAGAGAATAATTAATGCTTTCCCTATTTTCACTATTACCCAGCTTTCAACATTTCTGTTTCCCACAAACTTTAAAGAAGCTCTTACCTATTTATGTAAGCAGCCAAGTGTTTTGGAGATTTCTTAACCTGAAAAATAAAAGTAGATATAGTTATTAACAGCATAATAAAGTTCTTTTGTGAAGCTATGTAAACTTTGTGATTGATATCAACAAATCTGAAATCTAATAAATTTTCCGGATTAAAGTTGTAGTCTCAATTTTAGTTACAATACGCTATGTAGGTATATTTGACAAAGCAACATACTCATCTCCCTATTTTCTAGGTCACTAGTCATATATTATATTTGCATGGTACTTAAAGTACACTGACTTTTAATATCATTTAAAAGAAATTCTATCAGTATGAATGAGCCTTGCAGTGGTGAACCAAAAGCACCTCTGGGATTCCTCTTTAAAATTAAACTACCATATTTAAATGATATCTTATCAAAAATAGCATACTGTCCATAAAGTTTTTACAGCTTTTGGAATATAAACAATTTTCAGTATTTCATTAATTCTACCTAATTCTGGGAGACTAAGCAAATGGTCACCTTCCTGTTGTTTAAATAGTTTAATCAAAACTATCCAAAAAAAAAAAAAAAATTAAAAAAAAAAAAAAACTATCCATAGACTTAACAGTGTAAACTATCTGATGTACTGAATGACAACGTCTCCCCAGAATTCATGTTGAAATCCTAATGCCCAAAATGAATGATATTAGGAGGTGGGGCCTTTGGGAGGCGATTAGGTCATGAGGTGTCATCCTAATGAACGGGATTAGAGGCCTTGTAAAAGAGACCCCCAAGAGCTCTTTTGCCCCTTCTACCATGTGAAGACAGCAGACAAGATAGACAGCTATGAACCAGGAAATGAGCTCTAACCAGATACCAAATCAGCCAGGGCCTTTGTCTTGGAATTCCCAGTCTCCACAACTGTGAGAAATAACTTTCCACTGTTTATAAGTCATCTCGTGTATGGTATTATGCTATAGCACCATGAACAGATTAAGATACTCTCTCACCCATTTCCTAGAAACCATGCACTTACCTCCTTCATGTTCTTATTAGTAAAATTAGAGATCCTTTTTCTAGGAAGATCAGTGGAATGATCCTCAATATTATTACAAAACGTTCGTTTTTTAACATTGTGGGCCTCAGTTGCCATAATCTCTTAAATACCTAAACAACAAAACAAAAATAATAAATAGAAAATACAAAAAGCAAAAGAGCCTGATCATTTCCTTAACAGACACATAAAAATACAACACTATGTAAAAGAGGTTTATGAGTAAAGCAGAGGACATGGTTCTAATTTATACACTTTTTAACCTTAAGCAGAGGAAACACAAGGCACGGCATTCCAGGAAATTAGGCTCTTTCTGTCCTCATTCTTTAGTTGCAGCTAGTAAACAATAATATGGCATATATTTTTTGCCAATGCAACATGTCAATCTCCACATCTGCCCTATCACTAGTCATATATTAAATTTAAATTTATAGGTTATGAATCAGGTCTATATAGTAAGTATCAATGACATCCAAATGTATAGATGTCTAGTTTTAGAATCAAAATCAGTGGGTCAAATACAACTATAAGCAGCCAAAGGAATAAAAATCAAACTATATATATATATATATACCTGACTTGTTTTATGTCTAATCCTTAAATTTTTCTTTCATTCTTACAGTTAGGTCTCCAGAGCTTTCCTCTCCCTTTGAAAAGCCATTCCACTATTTCTCAGTTCTTCAATTATATCCAAAGAGGGGGAGGAAATAGAGGCTATTACTTCCTATATGTAACAGAATAAATTACTGATTTCCTGACTTGCACCCAGGTTTCACATAAGAAATTTATTTCAGCCCATGACCTGAATACAAGTTCCTCCCTTGTTCCTTTTTTCAACATTTACTGAACATTCACTATATATGCCAGGCCCTGGAATTAATGTAGATGATGGACCAGAGATGCTGTTCTCAAGGATCACTTGGGAAGCTTTTAGAAAACATATCTTTCTGGGCCTTAATTTCAGACTGTAACTCAGCAGGTCTCTGGAGTGAAGCCCAAAGCAATTATATTTCTAAAAAAGCTCCACAGCATTTTTGATGCACCTCTTAGAAGAAAATCTGCCTTAGACAATTTTCCAAAAATACGCACAAACACACAAAAATGTGCAAATAATTTCAGGGTGTTCTATGATCTCCTGCCACTAATCCCTGGGCATCCCTTCTACCTGTAATCTCAGATTAAAAAACCTCTAGGATGTGAGGCGCCTGGGTGCCTCAGTTGGCTGAGCGTCCGACTTCGGCTCAGGTCATGATCTCACAGTTTGTGGTTTTGAGCCCCGCGTCAGGCTCTGTGCTGACGGCTCAGAGCCTGGAGCCTGCTTCGAATTCTGTGTCTCCTCCTCTCTCTGCCCCTCTCCTGCTTGCGCTCTCTCTCTCTCTCTCTCTCTCAATAATAAATAAACATTAAAGAAATATTTTTAAAAACCTCTACGATGAGACTTTTTAAAAAAATAAATAATTGCAGTAACACGATAAACACCCTGACAGGACACTCATGTGAGGCAGCAAAGCTTCCCTGAGGAGAGACTTAAAGGATAAATAGCACATTGAAAAAATAGCATGAACAGAACTGAAAGGCATGAAGCAACACGGTTTGTTTGGCAATCTCTTAAGTAGATGCATGTGACTGGAGCTTAGGCTGGAGGTGGGTTGCAGCAGAGTGAAAAATGAGGCTGGAGAGACAGAAGCTAGATCATAAAGGATCTTTCGTACAAGGTAGAGATACTTATTAAAGATAATGGACTAAACATAGGCAATTATTTCTACCCTTCCCTGAAACCCCATTACAATGATAGTAAAGGATTTTTAAAGGCATAAAACTCATAATGACAAAGAGGAGTCGAGTCGATGGCAACAACATTTTGAAAACTGCAAAGCAGTTTTCAGACCTGACAAAGCCAAACCCTAAATCAGCAATGAGTAAAGGTTTAAAGCGGAATCCCCCAAAGGTTTAGGAGTTGGCAATATTGAGGACCTCAAGAAGTGAGGATAAATGCAGGCTTAAGAATAAGTAGAATGATTGAATATCCATTTAAGAAACATTTAGATCCCTAGATCCCTTTCCCAGTTCCAATAAAAGTTTTACAGTACAGAAAATTTAAAACAGAGTCCCTGGGATAGGAAATACCAAGCAGAAATGAAGGAGAAGAATATATTGTAATAGGGAATCAAGTGAAAGTTTACGTACTAAATACTGAGATCTAACGTTTCTACCATTTGCCTCTCGCAGCCAGCCTTATACACTGCAGGAGGAGTGCAGAAAATCCTTCTTTGGGAAACTCTCATCAAGCCCAGAGGAAAACACACATACCTACACATTCACACATCTAAAAATACTGACATCAGTTTTGGTCAAAGTCCCCAAAGAACTGTTTTACATCTTGATTATGGTGGTAGTTACCTGCCAAAACTAACAGAACTATGCACTAAAAAGGATGAATTTTTATCTTATGTAAATTATATCAACAAACTCAACTATCAGAAACCCTCAAGAGACAAGAACAAACTGCATACATGAAACACAAATGAGACAGAAAACAAACCAACAAAGAAATTAAAATTTAATTTGGAAATTTAAAACAGGGTAAAATAAGATAGCAAAAAAAAAAATCAACAGAAAGTTGGAAAAGAAACTTGAGGGTATTTCCTGGAATATAGGAAAAACATAGGTAAGATTGGCTTAGAGGAAGCAACACCCAAATAAATGGAATTTTAGAAAGAGTACAGAGAAAACAAAGAAGAAATCAAAGATATAACTGAAAATTGTATAGAATTGAAGGACATGTATTTCCACATTGAAAAACACAATGAGGTCCATCATGGGCCATGAAAATAGACCTACAAGGCACATAACTGTCACATTTCATGGCACTAGAAAAGCTGAAAACATGAAGCAAGCAAGCAAGCAAGCAAACAAACAAACAGTAAACCCTAAAACCCCAATCAGGTCACACATTATCATGACATAAAACAATGCCTTCAAAATTCTTAAGGAACCTAAGATTTATAACTAGCCAAATTACCAATTTAGTATAACAGAGATATCTTCAGACATTCAGAATTCCAAAAACATTCTTTGCAGTAGCAATCAGAGAAGTGAAAAACAAAAATTAGAAATATAAGAAATGGAAATCCAACAGGAAAGAGGAGAAGGGAATTCCCAGGATGGTTATGAAGGAAGATTCCAGGATGAGTGAAGGCTGTGCACAAGGAGTAGAGGACAACCACTGAAGCAGGAGAGCAGGCTAAAGGAAGACGTTTCTACATAAATGAAATAAAACGTGGTGCTCATGAAAGAAGAGATGGAGGTAACTGAAGGAGGGTCACAAGGCAATGGCACATTTGCCAAGTTAAAAGAATTGTCAACCCAGCATCCTATGTGCCGAGGAAATCCTTCAGGAATGAAGGGGAAACCAAGACATTCTCGGGTAAAAGGAAGTTAAAGAAGAAATCTTAGAACATCAGAAAGACAAAAAGAAAATGGTAAACATGTTTGATGGTTGAAGCAAAAATTATACAATCTGATGTGGTTCAAAATACACAGAGGAAATATTTAAGATAATTAAACTGTAAGGGGTGCCTGGGTTCCTTAGTCAGTTGGGCGTCCAACTTCAGCTCAGGGCATGATCTCACGGTTTGTGAGTTTGAGCCCTACATCATGCTCTACAGCTGGCAGTGTGGAGCCTGCTTGGGATTCTCTCTCTCTCTGTCCTTCCCCTGCTCTTGCTGTCTCTGTCTCTCTCAATAAATAAACTTAAAAATAAATAAATAAATGGCCTGCTTCAAAAAATAAATAAAGATAAATTCAAAAAAATTTTAGGGGCTCCTGCGTGGCTCAGTCGGTTGAGTGTCTGACTTTGGCTCAGGTCATGATCTCAAGGTTTGTGAGTTCAAGCCCTGCGTCGGGCTCTGTGCTGACAGCTCAGAGCCTGGAGCCTGCTTTGGATTCTGGGTGTCCATCTCTCTCTGCCCCTCCCCCACTTATGCTCTCTCTCTATCAAAAACAAATAAATGTAAAAAAACAAACAAAACAAAAAACAAAAAAAAATTTTTTAATCTTAAGAAAGAAAAAAAAAGAAATCTTAAATATGTGTGTACCAAAGAAGACAGTTGAAAAATACATGAAGCAAAAACTGAAAGGGGCTGAAAGGAGAAACAGGAAATTCCACAATAATCTTAGAGATTTCAATATCTCCTCCAGATAACTGATGGAACAAACAGACAAATTCAACAAGGCTGTAAGACAAAACCATCAACCAACAGGATAAAATCAACAATGACAAAAAACTCCACCCAACAACAGCAGAACAAGGACATGCCATTTTAACTAATGATGCAAGTTACAACCACAATGACATACTATTTCACAACTATGAGAAGGGCTATAATAAAAATGACATATAATAACAAATGTTGAGAAAGATATGGAGAAACTGGAACCCTTACATTATTGTAGGAATGTAAAATGGTATAGTAACTCTGGAAAATAGTTTGGCAGTTTCTTGAAATGTTAAATATGGATTTACCATATGATCCAGCAAATCTACCCCTACATATTTACTCATGAAAAATGAAAGTTTATGTCTACACAAAGACCTGTATGCAAATGTTGATAAAAACATTATTCAGAATAGCTAAAAAGTAGAAACAACCCATGGGGCACCTGGGTGGCTAATTTAGTTAAGTGTCTGACTCTTGATTTTGGCTTACATCATGACCTCACAGTTTGTGAGTTTGACCCCATGTCAGGCTCTGTGCTAACACAGCATGGAGCCTGCCTGGGATTCTCTCCCCCTCTCTCTGCTCCTCCCCAGGTTATGCACCCACGCACAGCCTCTCTCTCTCTCTCTCTCAAAATAAATAAATTTTTAAAAATGTTTTTAAAGACTGGAAACAATCCAAATGTCTACCAGCTGGTGAATGGAAAAACAAAATGTGCTCTATCTGTTGGGAATACTACTCAACAATAAAAATGAAAATAATACATGCTATACAATATGTATGAACATCACAGTTAAGTGAAAGAAGACAAACACAAAAGATATTATGTAATTTCATTGATATGAAATATCCATAAAAATAAAGAGCACAGACAGAAAG